TCTAGATTTGCAACTTCTCTCCTAAGCTTTTTTTTAATTCTTTTTAATTCTTCTAAAGTATAAAACTGAGCGGTGCCTGGAAGTTATAAGTGCCAGAAAATGAGAGGACAGATGAATGTGGTAGGTTTATGGTAAGTAAATGTAAAACATATTCCTTCCTTTGAAGAGCTAAAAAAATATTTTTAAAGGAAGGTATTCACAAAAGACATATGAACACCCGAAAAATATGTAAAAACCAAGTTGTGTTAACACAGAGACATCACCTTTAACCTATCCAAATGGCAAATGGCTGCTGGAGACTCAGGAAGGCCACAGATGCTGGGGCTCTCGGTCCAGCCCCAAGAGGTTCATTCCTCTAACTGAGCTCTTCTGTGTGTCCATTTGTGGTTAATTTGCAGCTTCTACCCTCCAGCTGGGAATGTAAAGATGGGGAGGCTCCTAGTAAAGATTACCATGAAATTCATCTTTACATCAGTAGGGGGATAATGGAAGTTTGTGGAAATAGAGCACTCATTGCCATGGGGCGGGGTGTGTATCATATTTTAAAGTTTATAGCCTTTGGACACATACAGTGAAAGCGTATCGAGATTCTCGGGCAATCTTATCAACCTTAAAATATGCAGCCACCTTCCCCTGCTTTACATCACACTTCCTGTCGCACGCTTTGTCGACATAAGGGGATCATCTGGTTAGTGAGTGAACCTGGCCATCTGCCCATAATTTATGAACAGTTATTTTATATTCATTGTGACTATTGTAAGTCACACAAAGGGATGAACCTCTTCTGGGGAGGGAGGTAGGTTTTTTTTTAAAAAAAGAGTGATTTTTAAAAAATGGCCCCATCATAGAAGCATGGAACAGATTGACAAATTTCAGAGGGAAGTTGGGGGTGGGGTTGGGGGGGGGTGGAGAGATTAACTGGGGAATTTATATGCATATATGCATAGCCCATGGATACAGACAACAGTGTGGTGAAGGCCTGAGAGAAGTGTGTGCAGTGTAAGGGGCAGGGGGGAGGGGAGGGGTGTTAATGTGGAAATAAAAGGGGACCTGTAATACTTTCAACAATACAGATAAATTTTCTTAAATGGCCCAATAAAGAAAGCCGACTTGTGGTATTGGAGATGGAAATGAAGAATCTGAGAACGTAATGGCTCTCGGACTGAAAATAAAAAGTTTGCTTGACTGTAGAAGTGCAATATCTCATTCAGTAATAGCTTCCATCTCCCAGGTGAATGAATCCAAGTGATCTCTACACAGAAATGAGAGAAGAATTTAACAGAACTATTTCAGTAAGTGTTCCGAACAGTGAAAAAATTACTCGCCAAGTGAGAGACAACAGTTGTGAAAGCTGAAAATGAGGTTTATTTGTCATGTGAATTATAAACACAGGGAACAAATATACCTTGGCAGAAATGTCCTTCAGGGCAAAGTCAGGAACTTGCAAATATACACTCTTCAATTCTAAGTGGTAAAGGTACTAGTGAGCCTCTCCAAACAAAGTTTACCACTGAGTAAACATTGGTGGGAGAGTTTTAAAAACTGTTTTTCCTTGCTTACCGTAAATTTAATTAAAGAAAGAACATTACTGGCTTCCTTGACTTACTACTTTTGTGTTTTGGGTTTTTGTTTCTAAATTGAAAAAGCTAAAGAGGCTCATTGTGGAGAAAGTCATGAACCAGGATAAATTATCAACACAGAAAAAAATATATATATATTATGTGGAAATGCTTTGGCACACAGAGATACTCAAGGAAAAATGAGCTTCTGAGTTTCAAACAGGTAAGGGTTGACTATCTCATCTTTTTGGGGGGCAATAGTACAGGCTTCATTATCAAGCTAGATTTGTTCTGCCAATAAGAAAACCTCATGGCATTGAGAAATAATAATGAGAACTTACGGTAGGCATATTGGCTGTACAAAAGAAAGAGATAGTAAGAGAGATAGAAGTTTGGATAATGCCATGTAGAATACAATTTAGTAATGTTTATTTCAGTAACTGTATTACTTAAGTCATATATTTAGAGAATTACTAATGTCCAAAGGAACCAAATCCAATTGAAAAATGAAAACCAGAAAGTTCTCAGAAAATGAAATGTAAAATGCAAACCTAAACATGTGAGAAGGCACTCTTCCCTCTCATAAAATGAAAAGTGCAAATTAAAACTCTGCTGAAACAACATTTCTCACCTATTCAATTGGCAAAAATTCAAAAGTTTAACACTATGCCAGCTGTGGGAAAGCTGGAAAGAAACGGGAACTTGCTTTCATTGCTGGTGAGTGTGCAGAATGTATCTGTCTCTCAAAGAGCAACTTTGTAATAGCTATCAAAATTGTAAACGCATTTACTCTTTGGCTCTGCTAGTCTACATCTGGAACTTTATCTGATAGTATTTCTGTATGTGTACAAAATGATTTTTGTCAGTTATTTACTGAATATTGCTTGTAACAGAAAATAGAAACTACCCAAATGTCCATCACTCTGGGTCTGATGGAATATATTGTAATGAAAAAGCTCTCTATGTATTAATCTTGAAAGATGCCCAGTATGTATCAATAAAAGTAAAGAACTGAACATATTACATTACCTTAAAAAATAATAATAAAGGCAACTTGGAGTTTTAAAAAAAGGAATAGGTGGATGGAGAACTAACAAATACACTTATGTTTATATTTACATTAAAGAGACACTGGATAGAGACTCTGGAAGTGATACAATGGACTAGGTAGGAAGGAGGCTCCTCAAGATGTGTGGTAATAATTTATAATAAATAAATAAAACAGTCACTTAAATTTTTCAGTGTTTTTTGTAGTTGGTGTGGAAAAAATGTAAGAGACTCAATGCAGAAACTCTTTTGTGACGATCTTAGATCTTTAAGTGGTCAGGGTCCATGATTAGGTTTTAAAGGAGCCCATGAAATTGAATGCAAAATGTTGTATCTCTTTGCATATGTACATGTTTCTAGGAGAACTGTCCAGAGCTTGCATCACATTATTAAAAGAACTCCATGATCCAAAACAATGTGAGAGGTCACAAATTTGAGCATTCATACAAGTCTCTAAACTTATACTTCCTAAATATGAAGATACTGCATGTCTTGGTAGTCATAAATATGGGTACTGGAATCCAGAGACTGGGGTCAAAGTTCACCACTTATGAGTTGTATATCTCTGGGCAGTTTATTCAAGCTTTCTAATCTCATGTTTCTTACCTGCAATAGAAAGGAAATAGTAACATCTATTTCAGATGGTATTGTAAAGATGGAATCAAATAATATATGTAAAGTGCTTAGCAAAATGCCAGACACACAATAAGCGCTCAAAAAATATTGCCCAGTGTAATCATTGAACTGAATATTGGTCCTGTGGTTACATAGAAAATTTTGGAAAGGGTCAGAATATGCACTGAGTTTTGGCCATGTTGAATTTGAGGTGCCTATGGGATACCTAAGTGGATATATCTGGCAGAAAATGAGTTTAAAGGTGTTAGTGCTGGAAAAGTTAGGCTATGTTATGTTTTTATGTTAAGTTTTTTTTTCTCTATCTACATCCTCTTCCTTGGTGATCTCATCTAGTTTCATGATCATATACTGATAACTCCCAACATATATATATCAGAGCTCTCCCTTAAACTCACACTCCAAATACCTACTCAACAAATATTCTTGGATGTTTATAGGCATCTCAGAATTAACATGTTTGTGTGTGTGTGTGTGTGTGTGTGTATGTGTGTTTTATTGTTGTTGTTAATCCTCAGCCGAGGACATTTTTCCATTGATTTTTAAAGAGAGTGGAAGGGAAAGGGAGAGACAGAGAGAAACATTGATGTGTGAGAGACACATCGATTGGTTGCCTCCTGTCCGCACCCTGACCAGGGCCAGGAAACCTGCAACCAAGGTACATGCCCTTGACCAGAATCAAACCCAGGACCCTTCAGTTCACAGGCCAACACTCTATCCACTGAGCCAAACCGGCAAGGGTGAGAATTAACATGTTTTAAAATGAATTCCTTACTGTCCCCTACTAATTGACCCAACTATAGCTTTTCACGTCTCAATTAAAAGTATTTCCATTTTTCTACTTACTCAAGCAAAAATTTTGAAGTCATTCTGATTTTCCCCCTCCTATCCTGCCCAACATCCAATCCATTCACTCATGCTATTGGCTCTACTACAAAATACATCTATATCCAATTATTTCATGCTCCCTTTCTTGTTACCACTCTGATCCAAACTACTAAAATCCCTCCCACCAGAATTATTGTGACAGTCTCCTAACTGCTTTTTCTGTTTCCACCCTTCTCCCTAGAGTAGCAGGGTAGAATCTCAGCACAGCAACCAACCAATTCTTGAAACCAGCACTCATTTGCTCAAGACCTCAGGGGCTGCCAGCTTACCTGGAATTCAGCCACAGTCCTTCCCACAATCAGAGCCTACCCCTTTATTTCTCTCACCTCATTTGCAATTTTTCTTCTCTTGATTCTACTTTTCCAGCCCCACTGACCTCCTTCCTGTTTTTCCAGTGTATACCAGAAACAGTCCTCCCTTCTATCTGGAATTTTCTTCTTCCAGATTCCATGCGGCTCACTTCTCTACCTCCTTCAAGTTTTTGCTCAAATGTCATCTTCTCAGTGAGATGTTTCCTGACCAAACCAACCTAAATTGCACTCCCATACTCCCTCAACCCTCCCTCACTGCTTTATTTTTCTGCAGCATTCATCATCAGTTCATGTATTATATATTTCAATTAGTTATTGTATTTATAAATTATTTATAAGTTATTTTATTTACAAGACCAGAATGAGGTCATGAAACAGAAAAGACCACAGTGCCCCTCCTGTGCTAAGAGAGAAGGGACCACCAGCTGAGGATGCCAGAAACAACTAGGTTGCCAGAAAAGTTTCATAGAGACCAGGGAACAAGACGGCAATACAAGTTCCCACACATAAATCCAAGAGACTCACTCTTCCACTCCATTCACCATAAACTCTAAAGCCACTTCCCCATACCTCAAGAGGCCAATCTGAAGAGGAGCAGCGAGAAGAGGCATCTGAAAGACAGGAATTACAAGGATTATTAGTTCAGTTGGGTTTAACAGATTTGAACTCAATATAGTGCCCTGTTGGGAACTCAGTAACTTCATCCTGCTCCACTATGCCAATTGTCAGGGACTGGATCTCCTCAACGGAGAAGACATAAGAATTTGTGGGTATATAAGAGAGTCCTTATTGTAGAAACCAGTGGCCATGTAGCCATTGCTAACAAGGAGCCACCAGACAAAACAGTTCTGCAAAGCAAAGTCCCATACAGCTGGTAGCCGCACACCGGTTAGGTAACAATACATAGTCTCCATAACGCAGGCCCACATATTAGCAGCCTGCCTTACATAGGAGCAGCCTCACCAGTGGTGGCACTGGCTGGTCAGTAATGACTTTATACTACTTAGATAAAAGAGGCTTCTTTCCAAATAGTGACCTCAGTCTTTTGGGTTATAGAAGGGCACACTTGTGCAGTGTACATACAGATTACTGTGGCCTTGCTCTTGCACCTGTGTATAGTTCTTGGACACCCTGATTAAGAGTCACATGCTCAGAGTGGCCTTGAACATCTGGCATACTCTGAAAAGGGCCTCTATACTCCAATTGGCCTTGAGCATCCACTGTACTTTGAATAGGGTCCCCACATGGCCCCTGCTAAATCAGGAGCATGAAGGCTCCTAAGATAAAAACATGTGAATGGATTTTCCCCTGCTGCAGTTTAAGTTGCAATTCAACACCAACAGCCTGGATTTCTCTAGGGGGTCCTGATGGATCTTGTATCTGGGTCTTCTCTGTCAGGCTTAGCCTCTCCAACCCTGACCATCATTCATTCATTCAGTTGGTCATTTTTATTTCAACTGTAAATGAGGGCATCTGAGGCTGAGCAGGAAGAGTCCATTTAGAGATAGAAGAGCTGGTGCCAGCCCTCAGAGCCACTAACTGTGCTCTGTGACTTTTCTGGGTCTCTTTCCTTACCTATAAAATAAGGCTGATATACCCAGCATTGAACTAGTATCTGTGTTGAACAAAATAATAAATATGAAAGATATTGGTATATTTCAAAGTGCTCTGTAAATTTAAAGCATTGTTATGTGGAAACTAAAAAGTACTGTCAGTTGACTGCCCACTTTACACTACTGGAGGCTGTAAGTTTGAGCAAGACGCATTCCCTACCTAGAGCTTTTGATAATCTCATGCAGCGATGCCTCTGGTTCACCTGGTTTACCCTCTGGGTCCTGCTCTGCTTATCAGAGTCAGTTTGCTTTATGCTGGGAAGGAAGGCTGAGAAGAGGAAAATTACAAGGTTGGATTTCAGTCTCTGACACTGAAATGAGTCATTTGATCATCCACAATTCCCTGACTCATGAAAGCAGCCCCTGCACAAAATGCTATGTCCTCACACACCAGGGAGACAAAAAATACACACACACACACACACACACACACACACACACACACACACACAGAACTGAAAGGAAGCTCTGGAGAGCCTGTGCCTTCCAAACTCACATTGGGCATCTCTGTCATTCTGTTAAGTGCAAAGCAGTATCTTGAAAGATTCCCTTGCGTAACGTTTGTAATATTGCATATCAATCTCCCAGCTTGTTTACCTCGTTAATTCAGTCTGTATCCTGTAGTGGGAAACTGAAGTAATCAACCACATAATGAGCTCCTGAAAATTTGCTATTGAAGGGTCTGGAATTAGCCAGATAAGCTGGTGACATTAAGTAAAGTGTTTAGAAAATAACTCATCTCCCCACCTCATGCTGTTAAAACCACACACACACACACACACACACACACACACACACACACGGTATGTTACTGGTATATATGCACATTGTATATACATTTTAAGTTGAGCATGAAGAGAAGCCTTTCATTGCACGTGGTGAAAGAGGGCCAAAGGAAGCAATATGTGAAGTAGAGAAAACTTAACTTATACCACAGCACACACATTGTGTTTAAGGGTCTAACTCCCTATGGCATTCTGAACATTTCTCTATAAAACCAGGAACCAGGGTTATAAAAATATATATTTGCACACACAAACAAAATATATTTTTTTCTCTTCTGTTTTCATCCTCAAGGTGAAATCAGGTTCAAAGATAGGAGAGACTTCCCAGAGGGAGGAGATAATTAGGCTCCTTCTCTCTGATTAGATATGCAAACTAAGTACAGTGGGGCCTTGACTTACAAGTTTAATTCGTTCTGAGACCGAGCTCGTTAAGGAGTTCATTAAGGAGCTCGTTGACTCAAATTACTCTGTCAACTCAATACAAAAAAATCGGCAGAGAAACAGCTGGTATCTCAAAAACTCGTTAGTCGGGACACTCGTAAGTCAAGGCCCCACTGTATGAGCAATTACCTGACACAAGGTACCAGCAGCTGAGGAACTGCTTTCACTCTGAGTTTGCACTGCACAGGCTCCCAGTTGCACAGGCTTCTTGGTTCCTGTCTATTTGGGAACAAAATGAGAATGAGATTACAATGATCCCGTGAGAACACTAAAAGTCTAATTAAATATGAAAGGTCAATCCAGGGAGCAGGAGAATGGAATTGTCTTAAATTCTTACTCCAAATGCTAGCTATCCATTTAAGTTAAGTCTTACTGCTATAGTTAAACAAATAAATATAGTCTTACAAACTGCTATTTGAATAACAGGTGGGGAGGTAGTGCCCCACACAGCCTAATCCCTGATATGTAGTCCATGCTAGAAATAGCTAAACTCCACTGAGCCTCTTCTATGCATCTTGCATTGGGTTAAATACTCATTCATTCGTTTAAAAAAATACATCTCAGACATGAGGCATGGTTCTGGGTACTTGATCTCAACTGTGATAGAATCAAACAATGCCCTCTTCTTGTGGTTCAAAACCAACAGACTAAATAAAGGAGATGCAAAATATGAGAGAGAGAGAGAGAGAGAGAGAGAGAGAGAGGAAGTTCAGCTCCCTATTGAGAAGTTATGAGAAAATCAAAATAGAGAAATAGGCCAGTAGAGTGGAAACTATAATACAGTATATTGAGTGGCCACAGAAGACTTCTGAGGAGGAAATTGGTGTGAGAGTTGGAGTTCTCCAAAACCTCCTGGTAGCACATTCTACACAGAAGGCACAGAGTGTGAATGACTTGAGTCAAGAATGAGCTTGATTTTGCAAAGTCCTGAAAGAAAGCTTTGGGCAGATTCTGATTTCCCTCATTTTGTAGATGAAAAAGTTGAGACTCATGAAGTTTAAACAACTTGTCCAAACTCACTTTACACATATTTGCCACTGCTGGGAATTCTTTTACATCTACTTTTACTTCTTGGATAGGCAAATTGTTTCTATTTCATCAAAGCAGTACAAAAAGACATTCATTGGTTTAAAAAAAAATGGGCAGAGGACCTGAACAGACACTTTTCCCAAGAAGACATACAAATGGCCAAGAGATATAGGAAAAGATGCTCAACTTCACTAGATATTAGGAAAATGCAAATCAAAACTACAATGGGATACCACCTCACACCTAGTTCAATAAGAACAAGGGTTGAGAGGCTTTGGGAAAGAAGGAACCATCATTCAGTGCTGGTGGGAATGTAAACTAGTACAGCCACTATGGAAAACAGAATGTAGGTTCCTCAAAAAATTCAAAATACAATTACTTCATAACCCAGCAAACCTTCTTCAGGGTATCTATCCAAAAAATTAAAAGATATTTATTAGCAAAGATATATGCACCCCTGTGTTTATTGCAGTGTTATTCACAGTGGCCATGACATGGAAATAGATAGTGTCCTTTGATAGATGATTGGATAAAGAAGATGCGGTACATATATATAATGGAATAACTACTTAGCCATAAGAAAAGATAAAATACTGCCATTTGTGACAACATGGATGGATCTTCAGAATATCTTGCTAAGTGAAATAAATCAGACAGAAAATAATCAAGAACCATATGATTTCACTCATATATATAATATACAACTGAAATCAACAAGTGAACAAATAAGACAAACAAAAACTCATAGACACAGACAACAGTATGGTGGTTACCAAAGGGAAGGGGGGCAGTGGATAATAAAGAGTAGAGGAGGTCAAATATATGGTGACAAAAGAAGAATTAACTCTGCGCAGTGGACACACAATGCAATATATAGATAATGTATCATAAAATTGTACACCTGAAACCTATATGACCTTATTAACCAATGTCACATCAATAAATTTAATTTAAAAGAAGGCATTCATTGGAAGTCCTCGTGCTTCCCTTTTTTTCCTGTCCATACCATTCCATCCCCCATCCCACTCCCTAGCACTAACTAAAAGTGGTTTAATTTTGCTTTCTTGGATATCATTTATAATTTATGCAAATGCAAGCAAATACAATTCCATATTTTTATCCTGCTTTCTATTAAAATATAATATATTACATAAACTATACTGTGTGTCATTCTTGCACCAAGAGGTCACTAGATCAATTCCCAGTGAGGACACATGCCCACATTGTGGGGTTGCAGGCTCAATCCCCAGTAAGGGGTATGCAGGAGACAGCTAATCAATGGTTCCCTCTCACCGATGTTTTTCTATCTCCATCTCCCTTCCTCTCTCTCTCTAAAATCAATAAAAAATATATCATTTATTTATATACTAGAAGCCCAGTGCATAAATCTGTGCACAGATGGGGTCTGGCTGGCCACCCTCATGGGGGCAGATTAGGAGGGGGTAGAGGGAGGGAGGGGACACGGGAGGTTGGCTGGCCAGCCCCGCCCCTGATCAGGGTGGGGGTGGCAATCGGGGCCCCGATCAGGCTGGTTGGCCGCTGCAGTGCGCATCATAGCGACTGGTCATTCCAGTCGTTTCGGTCATTCCATTGTTCTAGGCGCTGGGCTTTTATATATACAGAGATATATTTCCTGAAGACCTTTCCATGACAGTAGGTAAAAAGCTTCTCATTTTGTCATATAATCTTCCCCCGTAGAGGTGAAAAATGATTTATGTGATCATTCCTTTGATGATAACCGAGATTGCTTCTAGATTTTTGCTATACAAACAATAAAAAAACTTGTGCATATTACATTTTGTGTAGGTGAAATCACTGGGTCAAAGTAATTGATAAAAGTTGCCATCATGCCTTCCAATGAGGTAATAGATTCTACTCCCACCAGTAATTCCGTTAGGTTTCCCTAAAAGCTCATCAAAGAAGGGTTTTTGTAAACTTTTGGACTTTTGCCCATCTGATAGGTAAGGAATGTTATCTCTGTATCATTAATGTCTAGCAGCTCTCTTTATTTAAAGAAATCATTAACCTTTTATTTTGGACATGAGTTGCAATTTTTTCTTAATTTTCCATTTGTTTTTTAATTTTACTTATGGTTTTTTGTGTGTTGTTGTTTATTTTTTGTTTTGTTTTGTGTGGGGGTTTTTTTGCCATGCAGAGATTTAATTTTTTATTTATTATATTTTTGTTTTTTAAGGTGATCAAATTTTTCAATCCTTTTGTTATGGCATATAGACATTTGTGTCATAGTTCCAAAGACTCTAATTTGAGATTATAAAAAAATTCACCCATGTATTCCTCAACCAATGTTTTTGTTTTGTTTTACATTTATATAATCCGATATATCCAAAGTTTATCCTTGCATATGGTAACAAGATACGGCTCTAACTTTCAAGAACAGGGACTTAAATTCAGATTAGCCTCTGCTCTTTGGCCATACCTTAAAGCCAGGGAATAGCCTAAAAGAGAAATCTAAATTCTAAAATACAACCCATTCAAAATTAGTTTTTTGGCCCTAGGCATCACAGGTTTCTGCAGGGTTTTTGGCAGGCTGTTGGGGACATCCTGTTCTTCTCCAGTCTGTTCTCTGGGGTTGAGCCCAAATGACTAGGGTGTGTAAAAGTCACTAAAGAAGGGAGTGGTCAACTGCTCTAGGCAGCCTAGGCATGTGATTCATGCTCAAGAGCCACTTCACTTACTATCAGAAAATCTAGGTCTCAGTCCTATCTTGGACCCCTCCTAGCTATAAGATTTGGAGAAACCACTTAATTTCCTTTGGCCTTAGTTAGTTCAACTACAGGAGAAGGAGTTTGAACCTTTTCTGCTTGATGTTCTTAGAATTAGTAAGTTACTTAAGGTCTACAATGGTTTGGCCAGACCTTGAATCTGGTGATATGTCTACTATGTTGTCAATTTCTAGATAAAGTGATAAGAATAAAATAAGAGGCACTTGCTGCATACCAGGAACTCACTGTTCTAAGCACTTTTTCTGTGTGAACATATTCAACCTTCACAACACTGAGAGGTAGATACTGTCATAATTTCCATTATGTAGATGAAGACAGTGAGGCAGAAAGTTTCAAAAGTCACCAACCCAAGAAAAAGTGTGACAGAGGGAAAAATGAGAGAAGAAGGATTGTGGTCATAATCCACTATAATTTAAATATCTTACATTTGTAAATTATGCATATAGAGTGATCATGTGAGCACACTGCTAGCATCTCTCCCAGAGCCTTGAAAGGGACCAATCCAAGTGATAGGTTTTCAGGCAAAAGAAGTAAATCATGCAAATGTATGGAGAAAGGGTATCTTTTGAAGAGAGAACCACTAGTGCTGAAACTTGAAGCAAGTACAAATTTGATATGTATGAGTCATTGAAAGAAAACCCCCATGTTCAGAATGTAGCTTCACCAGCTGCTCCCACTTTCTAACAACTCAGGAGCACAAAGGTGGTAAGGCGCTCAGTATGTAACTTCTGCCTAGAAACTCATGTCACTATGATGAGCTTAAAGGATCATCTGGGATCATCTAACAATCTGCAATGCCTATTGGGCTTCTGACCATGTCTCATGGAGCTCCAAAGACTTAAGCTCCTCACTCCAGCCTCAGCCTCATTGCTACATGTTTCATGCATCTGATTCATACCTTAGATTCTTCAGAAGAAATATCAGAACCAAGGGCTCTATCTCTGGGAAAGGTTGGAAACTCCATAAACCCCAACCCTGTCATTTGATCTGGGAGGACATGGAAGCTCAGAAAGAGGAAATGGTTATCCCAAAGCCACATTTAGATAGGGACAGAGCCACTGCAGGAACTCCAACTTCCTGATTTCCACTCTAGGGCTCCTCCAATACTCCATGCCATGCTCACTCCTAATCTCCAATAAATATTCTTTAGATATTCTTTTAAAACATAGAGAAGTTGAAAGAAGACTATCATCAATTTATATTCTCCCCATCTTATGAGACAAAGATAGAGAGCTGTAGAACTTGCTCAGGGTAATGAATTCCCCATTTGCCAAAACAGAAGCTTGGAAGGGAAAAGTGAATCTTTGCAGCTATGATTCTACTAATTGAAGTTTTTACTAGGAATTGACTTCCGGTATCTCAATAAAAGTGTTAAGGGACGATGCCTGTGTTTTCAATGAAAAAGCTAGGAGATGGCAGCCACCTCTCCCCTCCATCCCCACCACC